TTGACCTATCTCCTCCCTACCTCCCCACCTACACTCACCTTTACTGGCTCCATCCCTGCCTCTTTAACCTGTCTGTCTCCCCTCCATCTATCTTCTCCTCTATCCATCTTCTATCCGCCTCCCCCTCTCTCCCTATTTATTTCAGAACCCCCTTCCCCTCCCCCATTTCTGAAGAAGGGTCTAGGCCCGAAACGTCAGCCTTCCTGCTCCTCTGATGCTGCTTGGCCTGCTGTGTTCATCCAGCTCTACACCTTGTTATCATCTTAAATCATTGTTTGGGAGACAGAGGTGCCTGCAGGCAATATGAAAAACAGTGAAATACTGACAGCAGGAACTCCCCTAGCAATGAAGGGCACATGCTTAGTCAGTTTTCTAGTCAAAAATAGCATTAAAGATGTTTGTACTACCCCCTAGTGACAATAGCACATCCTGCAGAGAGCCTAAATGCATCTATTAATCAACAAAGGGTCCTCTGGTCACTTGTTGTTTTTCTTCTCTTCTCTACTAGGATGTGAACATAACTAGCATGGTCAACATTTGTTTTCATTGCAATTGCCTTCTTGAACCAGTGCAATTCATTTGATGTAGATACACTGACAGTGCTGATTGGGAGTTCCAGGATTTTCAGCCAGTGACAACAAATGGACAACACACAGTGCCTAGTCAGGGTAGCCATAATGTGGAGGTGCCAGTGTTGGACGGAGGTGGGCAAGGTCAAAATTCACATGACACCAGGTTACACCCAACAGGTTTATTTGAAAACACAAGCTTTCGGAGCTTCAGTCTTTCTTCAGGTGTTAGTGAGAGAGGTAGTATCAGACACAAAATTTATAAGTAAAAGATCAAAGGCTCACACCATTGATGAGGATGTGCTGCTCACACCATTGATGAGGATGTGCTATACAAACCTAAGATGCATCTGATGTGTCTGATACTACCTCTTTCACTAACACCTGAAGAAGGACTGAAGCTCCAAAAGCTTGTGTTTTCAAATAAACCTGTTGGGTATGACCAGGTGTGGTGTGAATTCTGACCTAGTCAGGATAGCCCATGGCCTGGAAGAGTACTTGAATATGGTGACATTCCCATACATCCGTTGCCCTTCTCCTCTAGCCGATCACAGTCATGGTTTTGAAGGTGTTAATGAGTTTGTGAAGAATTCCTCTGTTGAGAATTTTGATCAAATCTGAAAGCATGCTCTAAATGATTTGCCTTTTTCAACAGACATCTCGTGATCTGGTTTGTTTCATCCAGTTTGAGAATGTCAATATTTACTATGGAATGAATTACAAAGCGAAATACAAAGCACCGACTGATCACTGCTTTGTACTGAAGGTAAACACAGTAACTATATTTAAAACATTAGCTGCTTTTTTTTTGTTTTGCTGAGAGCTGTTTTATCAGTTTAACAGAAATTGGAAAGTATTAAACATGCAATTGCAAACAGTGTACTATCAATTGTGATACTAAATCAAGAGAGAGGGGATAAGATCATTTCACAACCAAAGCACAGTTGTAATGCATGATTCCTCTGACTGAGAAATCGCTTGATGCTGACAATTGGCACAAAAATTGGAACATGTTCCTTACCTGTAAGTATGTACACAACAGAAATAATTGGCAATGTATTGATTCCACTTGCAATTATACCAAAATGCTCAAGGGTAGTAATCTCTGGATTATTCCCAATGCCATGTGCTAGTGAGAGTAAAAATATGAGGATAGGGCAGATGAATGCATGGTTGAGAAGCTGATGCAAGGGGCAGTAATTCAGATGTTAGATCATTGGGATCTCTTCTGGGGCAGAAGTGATGTGTATAAGAGGGGGGTTGCACCTGCACTGACGGAGGAAAAATATTGTGGCAGGGAGATTTGCTAGAGTTACACAGAAAGGTTTAAACTAGTCTGGCGGGCGGGGGGGGGGGGGGGGGCGGTGGGAGGGAGTGGTGTTGGGGGGTGGTGGTTCTGGGACACTAGGCAGCAGTGAGGTTGAAGCTGGTACAGAAGTTAAAGAGAGCAAGTTCAATAGACAAGGCAGGCAAGAGCATGGCAGAGAATGATGAATTAAAGTGCATTTATTTCAATGCATGAGGCATGATAGGTAAGGCAAATGAACTCAGGGCACGGATGGGAACATGGGACTGGGATTTCATAGTTATTACAGAAACAAGGCCAAGGGAAGAACAGGACTGGCAGCTCAATGTTCTGGGTCACTGATGCCATAGGAAGGATAGAAAGGGAGGGAGAAGAGGAGGGACAGTAGTGTTCTTGATTAGGAAAAACTACTGTACGTAGAGAGAATACTCCTGGGTGCTCGTCCAGTGAAGATATACAGGTAGAACTGAAAAATGAGAAGGGGGTGATCACTTTAATGCGATTGTACAAAGGCTCCCCAATAGTCAGCAGGAAATTAAGGAGCAAATATATAGGGAGATTGCAGATAGCAGTCAGAATGATAGGGCTGAAATAGTAGGGGATTTTAACTTTCCAATCATAGACTGGGACTGCCATAGTGCTAAGGGCATAGATGGGGAAGTATTTGTTAAGTGTGTTTAAGAAAACTTTCTCAATCAATGTACAGATGACCTTACTGGAGAAAGGGAAAACTCACCCTCCTTGTGGGAAATAAGGCAGGGCAAGTGACTGAGGTGTTGGTGGGGGAGCACTTTGGGACCAGTGAACATAATTCTATTAGTTTTAAAATAATTATGGAAAAGGATGGGCCTGGTCCACAAGTTAAAGTTCTAAATTTGGGCAAGGCCAATTTTGATGGTATTAGACAGGAACTTTCAAAAGTTGAATGGGAGAGGCTGTTTGCAGGTAAAAGGATGTCTGGTAATTGGGATGCTTCCAAAAGGGAGTTAACAAGAGTTCAGGGACAGCATGTTCCTGCTACTGTGATGGGCAAGGCTGGTTGGTGTAGGGAACACTGGATGACTAGAGATATTGAGGCTCTGGTGAAGAAAAAGAAGGCATATGTCAGGTATAGACAACTGGGATCAAGTGAATCCCATGAGGAGAATAGGAGGTGTAGGCGTACACTTAAGAAGGAAAACAGGAGGACAAAAAGGGGACATGAGGTATCTTTGGCAAATAAAGTTAAGGAGAATCCAAAGAGATTCTTCAAGTATATCGAGGGCAAAAGAGTAACTAGGGAGAGAATATGGCCCCTTAAAGATCAGTGGGGCCACCCATGTGTGGAGCCACAGGAGTGAGATTCTAAAGAAATACTTTGCATCAATACTTACTGTGGAAAAAGACTGGAAGCTAGGGAACTTGGGGAAATAACTAGTGATGTCTTGAAAAGAATCCACATTATAGAAGATGAGGTGTTGGAAGCATTAAAACATATAAAGGTAGATAAATCCCCGGACCTGATCAAGTGTATCCCTGGACATTGTGAGAAACTAGGGAAGAAATTGCGGGACCTCTAGCAGAGATAATTGCATCATCGATGGCCTTAGGTGAAGTGCTGGAAGACTGGAGGGTGGCTAATGTTGTGCTATTATTTAAGAAAGGCTGCAAGGAAAAGCCAGGGAACTACAGACTGGTGAGCCTGATATCAGTGGTGGGTAAGTTTTTGGAGCAGATTCTGAGAGACAGGATCTCCATGAGTTTGGAAATACAAAGATTAGGGATAGTCATCATGGCTTTGTGCGTGGGAAATTGTCTCATAAACTTGAATGAGTTTTAGAAGAGGTGACGAAGAAGATAGATTGAAGGCAGAGCAGTAGACGTTGTCTACACGGACTTTAACAATGTCTTTGACAAGGTTCCGCATGGTAGACTGATTAGTAAGGTGAGATCACATGGGATCCAGGGACAGCTAGCCAATTACACACAAAATTGCCTTGACAGTAAGAGACAGAGGGTGGTGGTGGAGGGTTGTTGTTCAGACTGGAGACCTGTGACCAATGTGTGCCACAAGGGTCATTGCTGGGTCCACTGTTCAACATTTATATAAAAGATTTGGACGAGAGTGTAGGAGATATGGTTAGTAAGTTTTTGGATGACACTAAAATTGGTAGTATAGTGGACAGTGATAAGGTTATCTAAGAGTAAACAGGATATCGATCAACTGGGCAGTGGGCCAAGGAATGGCAGATACAGTTTAACTTAGATAAATGCGATGTGTTGCATTTTGGTAAGACAAACCAGGGCAGGACGTACACAGTTAATGATAGGTCCCTGGGGAGTGTTGTCTATTAGAGAGACCTTGGGATGCAGGTACACAGTTCCTTGAAAGTGACGTCACAGGTAGATAGGGTGGTGAGGAAGACATATAAGGAATGAACTGCCAGAGGAAGTGGTAGAGGCGAGTACAATTAGAACTTTTAAAAGATATATGGATAGGAAAGGTTGAGAGGGATATGAGCCAAATGTAGGCAAATGACCTAGTTCAGCTTAAGAAACTGGTCAGCAAAGACAAGTTGGGCTAAAGGGTCTGTTTCCATGCTGCATGACTCTAAGACTCTACAGTTGCATTCTCAAAACTCTAAATATCCATTGGCCTTACCAGTCAAGAGGTTTGGGGCATTTTCAAATATTTTAAAAATATTCTATCCATGCAATTTTTTGAAAAAACATATTATTTGCCTCTTACTAAATTGATGTGTAAGAACCAAAATTCTTGGATGCAGCCATATTGAATTTAACAAAATCATGACAGTCCTGTGATATATTATTCAGAATTCACTGGATGAAATAACACCAGTGATGTCAAGCCATTTCCCATTCATCTCATATTTGTTGGCTAAACAATTGAGTGGATTTCACAGGTGCGGTGTTTTTGACAGGGAACTGTCAGCATTCATTGTCATTACCCCCCTGAACCTGACTGCAACTTCTGGATATTGGGTATTCTCAGATTAGCACAGGAATCCTCAATTTGCAGTCTCTATCTCTCAGGTCTTTGATGCAGGTTGCACTGTGGACACTGCCAGCCCTGTGGTATTTTCTCAGTTGGTCATGCAGGTACCTTTTGATATTTGCCATCTCTGCCAGTAAGTGGTACTGAGCAAGGTCCTTTGAAGTAGTTTGCTGCCACCAATTCTCCTTTGTCTTTGTTTTTTCTTGGGCCTATCTACTGTGGAGTGGGAGAAGATACACCAACAAAATGTCTACAATAAAGACACTGTTCTTAAATAAAAAGGTTTACTGCATGAGAGTAGTAAGTATAATTGTAATTGGCCTGGCATTATTGCTGGGACTTTAGGGAGCTGGTACACATATATCTGTTCCCTCCAAAAGCTAAAATAGAACTTCTTGTCTCCACCCATAGGCTGTGTGTGATATCAATAGAATGGGTAAAACCAATGTAACTGAATATTCATCCATTCACAACCACAACATTATGCGACATCTCCCCTTTAACATTTCTCCTCAGAGTCAACCTGCTATACATCATGCAATTAAGTACATTTTGCTTATTAGTACCTCCTCTCCCACATTTGCCCCCATTCCCCCACCCTCCAATCCCACCTCCAGTCTCTAACTTCTCAAATGCAGATGGTTTAGATTTTGACACCTTTCTCAGAGCACATTCTCTTTGGACCTGGAAAAATCTTGGTTTCTTGCTTGAAGACTGTTGATCCTGGCTCTGATCTGCTAATCATTTCTGCACTGAAGGTTCTTTTGTCTCTTGGATATTCTTTGTGGAGGACATCATTCTTTATAGATATTAATGTTACAACATTACCTCGTCTGGAGAACGCTTAATCTCCTCAATTTTCTTCCTTAAAGGTGGAGGTTCTGTTGAAATAAGTACATTCTTCTATGTGGTATCCTGGATTTCAGGATCATCAATCATATTGTAATTGGAAAAGCTAGTCTCTGTGATTCTAGACGCTTTGACAAGGCAGTTTCATCTTCCTGACTGTGTCCTGGATCTGTTAATGTTTCAAAGCTTATCACCCTCAGGTTGTTAATCAGGCTGGACATCTTTAGTCACCCATTGTGGTTGTTTCCCTCATGAAGGAAACTTCTACAGACTCTCTGTCCTGTTACTGAAGGAATACAGCTCATTTAATGTTCTCTCTGTTATTGGCATTGACTTCTGTTCTAGAGGACAGAGGATTGAACAATTCCACCAATTCTGTGAAGTATGTGACTTCCTCTATGTTGACAATTTCAGAGAACTTTCTTGTGCCATTGTATGTGATCATACTGAACTGTTCAGTCTGTTTGGGTTTTATCATGAGTTCAGAAAGCCTAATGAAGCCCAATCTTCTTCTGGTTGTCTCTCAACTGGTTATCGATAACAGTTTGTACATGAACAAAAACAGAAGTTTCTGGAAAAGCTCAGAAGATCGTGCAGGATCCGTGAAGAAAAAAATCAGAGTTAACGTTTCGGGTGCAGTGACCCTTCCACAGTTCCGAGTAAGGGTCACCGGACCTGAAATGTTAACTCTGATTTTTTCTTCAGAGATGCTGCCAGACCTGCTGAGCTTTTCCAGCAATTTCTGTTTTTGTTACAGTTTGTTCACGGCCCAGTGTCTGGACAGCTGTTTGTTTCTGGACCAGTACTTCTCTGGGAGTTTGTCAATTCCATCCAACTCACCTTATGGGGCTGAAGTCGAGACATATGTGCAGGCTCAAAAGTGAAGTTAGTCAATTACAATGTAACCTTTCTTCTGTTCTTTAACGCGTGTTACCTTGTACTGTATGCTTCTGAGTTATTCCACCTGCACCATGTAACTTATCTCTGTAGGTTGTAACTTCTGCAGTAACTGATATGTTAAGACAGTAGTACTCCCTTAATTCTTAAATGTGTTATGGAAATTGCTGACAAGATTGGCATTTACAGCCAATCTTGATGGCTTGCTGGTCTAGTTCAGAGTGCAACTAAAAATCAATTCATTATTCGGGGGAGGTGGGGGCAAGTGATCTGGAGTCAGATGTAAGCCAGACCAGATAAGGATGAAAGATTTTCTCCCTGAAGGACATTAGTGAAGCAGGTGGGCTTTCATAATCGTTTCATAGCACTATTACTGCGACTAGCTTTATTTTCCAGTTCTATCAACTGAATTCACATTCCCACCAGGGGCCATAGTGGGATCTGAACCCATGCACTCAGACGATTAGACTGGGCCTATGGGTTATTGGTCCAGGGACAGTACCACTCTGTCACCATTACACCAGTGTTCGGCTTCTCTCTCGGGATCTGTCTACGTGCCTTTTTGGTTTCTCATTCAAACACAATTTGAACAGCTTTCTTCGAAGATGAATCTTCCTTGGACTGTAAGAAATCTGACAAAGTTTAATTAAGAATTCCAACAACAATTCTGTCTCTAGTAAATTCTGATTTCATAGCTCCATATTCATAGCTCTTCACTAATCTGTAGAGGTGATTAGTGGATTTAGGTGATTAGCGGAGTTGTATACAGATTCTCCTGCAAGCTAAACTCTTTTGTTAAATCTTGTTAGTGTATCAAGCAGCAAATCAATAGGACATCCATTGAGTTATACAAGTTCTGTCTCTTCTGGTTTATCTAGATTAGTTCATTCCCCAGGAATGTCTCAGGCATCTTTTCTAATTGAGGTGTCTGGTCAAATGCAGGTATCATTTATAATGGTGATGGTCCATTGTGCAGACCTTTTTATTGATATGACCACGAGTACTTCCATTGCTTTAAAACTATGTTTTATTTCTGCACATCTTCTAGAAGTGACCAACAGTTTTTCAAATGTAGCATGATCTGAACATGGTCTATGCCTGTGAGTTCTTGTTGGAAGCAGAGTTGACACTGGTTGTTTACAATATGTGCCTGGTGTATTCTCTTGTAGGCTGGTCATATACTTCTCTAGAGAGTCTAAGGTTTATAAAGTCCAAAGATTCTGTTTCCCTCTTGAGGTAATGTGGGTATTCTCCTCTGAGGATCTGTCTGAGAGTCTCTCTGGTTTATACTTTCAGCATGACTCGAACAGCTTTCTCCAAAACTAAATCTTCCTTGGGCGATAAGAAATCTTATAAAGTTTCATCAAGAATTCCAACAATAATTCTCTCTTATGAATTCTGGTTTCAATACTCCATATTCACAGATTTACACCAATCTGTAGAAGTGATTATTGAAATTACCTGTGAATCCTCCTGGAAGCTGAATTCCCTGTTAAATCTTGCTTTTTCAAGAATTTTGTTTGCCCTTAAAATTAAACCATTACCAGAATCTTTTAGGATTCTTGAACGTTTCCATACTCGCTTAGATGCTTTGTCTGTTAATAACATCACTCACAGTCAGACTCAATGAATATAATAATGCAGTCACTTGCTTAACTTCAATCTTAGTGTTTAAGTTAAATGCAATGTTGTACCTAAGAATTGCCACCATTATGAAATCCAGTCTTGCTCTGCATGGTCCTTCCCTAATCCTGAATATGATAGTATGTATTATATCTTTTTTATTTCTTTTCAAAGTGCCGGTTAGATATTTTAAACCTGTATCATTTCAATACAGCATTAAATCTTTAAGCTTATAGTCTTTTATTCAATAATACTGTTCGAAACGTAATGTCTGTAGAGCTTGTTAGATGCCATACCACAGCAATATTCCATTATTCCATTATTTGCTGTCCTTTTTAATTCTGTACTTCTGACATACTGTACCAAATTCTTCAAAAACTACTTTAAATTGTATTCCTGGTTGTTCTGTTGTAATTTACTGCTTTCAAGCTGTTCACATCTGTTCTTCTGCAATACTGTGTTCCCGTACTACTTCCAAAGCTTTCCTGTTTTTTTCAGAACTTTCCCTTTTATTTTACTTTCAAAATTGTGGCTTCTGCTTCTTCTAGGTTTTCCCACCTGCTGCAGCCAATACAGACCTTTTGGATAGTATGGATATTTTCTCACTTTTCAAAGTCGAAAACACCAAACGTTTTCTTCTAGATACATTTTTAAATAAAGTTCCCTGGATGTAGCTTTAATAAATCTCACAGCCAAAATCTCAAAGGTGTCTGTATTTTCTAAGTGTGGCTGGCTTTTCTCTGTTTTATTAGCTTCTTACCAGCCTCTGAATGAAGCTTTGCCTTTGGAGTGTTGAGTTTGCCTTTGTGCTGCTTCCACAGCTGCTACAATCTCTCTTTCTCTCTCTCTCTCTCTCTCTGTTGGCAATGGTGCTTCAGCTGATGACTTATTGATCTTCTTAAATCCGCAATGCTCTTAAAGTGGTAAACTGGATTTATTCTCCATGTGGCATGGGTCATTTGTGCATCACTGCAACCATGTGATATTCCTTAATGACCACTGTTGGCACTTTCTGATATTTGCCATCTTTTGCAATTTTTGGTACTAGGTAAAGGTTTGAGGTACTTTGCTGCCACCAATCTTCCTTTTTCTTGGGCCTACTAATGATCAGTAGTACAGGATACACCTTGGCAGAGTGTTTACAGAGGAGGCAGTATTCTTAGAAAATAACACCTATTACATGATGGCAATATGTACAACTATATTCGGTCAGGCACAATTGCCTGGATTTCATGGAACTGGTACAGATATGTTTGTTCTCTGTCCAAAAGCTGGAGTAGAACACCTTCTTTCCAGCCACTTGTACTTGAGCTGCTCAGATAACAACTTGACATCTTTTCCACTATACCATGGAGTGTGTCTAATGCTGCATCATATTTTCTGCTTTCAAACAAAAGTTATAGTGTGAATGTTTTCTATTGGGAGCTTTAATCTGCAATTCTTAATCGTAATGGAAGCAGTACAGTATAGTTGTGTTACCCCAATAGATTCTACTCCGATGTGTATATTTATAAAGTTGCAATTTCCAAGTCCTGTAACACTAAAAAACATACTTGAGCAGTAATAACAGTATGATTGTTTCTTAATTCACATGTATTGCACAACTTGCAAGTATATATGCAAGTTTGACCCCTACCATCTGAGGAAGGGTCACCTGACCTGAAACATTAACTCTGATGTTTCTTCACAGATGCTGCCAGACCTGCTGAGCTTTTCCAGCAACTTCTGTTTTGTTCCTGATTTACAGCATCCACAGTTCTTTCGGTTTTTATTTTGTCTTAGTTATATTATTGCTTCATTAGTAATCCAGAGACCCAGGTAATATTCTGGGGACCCAGGCAAATGGTGAAATTTGAATTCAATATATAAAAATCTGGAATTAAGAGTCTAATGATGACCCATGAAGCCATTGTTGACTGTCATAAAAACCCATCTGGTTCACTACTATCCTTTAACAAAAATTGTAATGAGAAGTTACAGTTGTGAGGAAAGGGGTCACTGGATCCAAAACCTTAACTCTGATTTCTCTTCACAGACGCTGCCAGACCTGCTGAGCTTTCAGAGCGACTTCTGTTTTTGTTTCTGATTTATAGCATCGTCAGTTCTTTCAGTTTTTATGCTGTCCTTAACTAGTCTGGCCAACATGTGACTCAAGAACTGCAGCAATGTTGTTGACTCTTGACTACTTTCTGGGCAATTAGGTTGGGAAATACTGTGCTAGCCAGCAATGCCCACATCCCATGAATAAATAAGAAAAAAACTGACCAGCCAACTGAAACTCTAGCTTCACGCAGCTGCAGTCCCTCTCAATGGAATTAGATATTTGAATTTTTTTTAGCCTGCAAGATACATATATTTTCCTGATTTGGTAATCAATTTGGTAATCTTTGTTCAAATGAAACCTCATAAGAAGTAAATGTCTTTCCTTTCCATCAGATTGTCCCAGTGCGTCTCTCAAAAACCTTGATCTAAATTTTGCATGTAAAATCCTAAAAGGTGAATGCATAACACTTTTAAAAGATCCGAGATTAGCACCAACGTTAGTAATCAATCCAATTTTCTAGCACCCTCAGATTCAGAAAGAGTCACAATACATCAAGTATCTGTGCTGCGACGATCCCTGGGCTCTACAACAGTGGATAATGGGGATACGAATAGGAAAGGTGAGTGAGAAATGGAAACAATTAACTTATTATTTAAATGGAGTAATGGGAACATTAGTCAGAAAAGGCTAGCACCTACAATGCTTATCTTCTAAACTGCTTTACTTATTTTTTGTTGTAAATCTTCCCTCTTTGAGCTATTCCTCTTCATCTCATTCTGTCCTTCTGAAAGTAGCAGAGAACCTACTATTACTATTAGCATTCCCCAAACAAGTTACCAAGAGTCATGTGGGTGCAGCCAAAGCTAACTTGTTTTATATATATAGTTTAAATTTGAGTGCCCCAGGATAACAGATTGTAGCATTTAATTGATCAACCCAGACCCTTAAATCCATTATTTTTTCTATGTTGTCAGAATTTTAATTAACATCAAGTCCTAGATAATTCAGAAGTTACACTAACTGAACATAGAGAAAAGCAACACCATGTTAATCACATACTACCAAATCCTCTCAATATTTGTCTTAGATTTTAATTCGCTCTCCAGCTCAACATTTAGCATGAAAAAAACATCCAATCAGGGAAGCTTATTGAACTCTGCTGAACTAAGGTCCCAAACCCACATTCTATCCTTCAACAAGATTTCCATCTTCACAATGTCTATCCCTAAACTTAGAAGACCCAGCGGCCCTACCCCACACCCAACAAAAGTGCCAAAGGTCTTACCCACCCTTTTGTTACCCCAGGATTCAGCTTGTCCAATGTACTTATCAACAGCCCCCGTTAATTCTATACAATGTGCAGCTAATGAGAAACTCTGCTGTCTTCAATGTGAATTTTGTGTTTCATCTACACCCTCATCACCACCATCACTTTTGTTTCTTTAACAGAACCTTCAAATACCTTAGTTTTAATCTCGAGAACTCCCTTATAAATCTTTTGCATTGTGAATTCTCTCTCTACATTTAAAAAGGCATACATCAGTTATTGTCCTCTATTTTTGTTCTCTTTGTGAAGCAACTTGCAATTGTTATTTTGTTATTGTTATACTTGTTATTTTAAAGCAATTGCATTAATGAACATTTTTCTTGTTACTATTGTTCTTGAATATTAGTCTGTTCTGGTAACAATGACTGGCAAATTATGACAAATTGAATTCCTAGTGGCAAAGCCTGCAACTTAAGTTAATAGCTGATCAGAGAACAGATATGTCCTGTGGAGAAGGAATGAGATTGTACTGGGGGCATGAAGTGGGGGCTAGGTTTGGAAGGGACTCAATGCAACCTTGGTGAGTGGAAGGCAAGGTCGGAACTTTGGAACACATGCTCTACTTATTTGGACTTTGTCCTTCGCATTCACAAATTCTGAACACTCACCACATTAGTCCCTCAACTTCCCATGTCTAGTATGAACCTGTGCCATGCCCTTACACTACACATAACCATATGCCCCATTTGTCCTTCTTGTATCTATGCCCATTTAATGTCCATGTACCCCTACACATGCCTACCAGGCCCCTGCACACCCATAACTCACATAACCCTAATTATTTAGTGTCCACTAGGCATATTTCGGCAACCATGGGATATCTATGGGAAGAATTTTAAGTGGACATTAAAAGAAAGTTATTCTAACAATCAAATAGAACTGACATTCAAAATGTACTTCAAACTGAAAAAGAAACCAAGGCCATTCAAAAAACTAAAACTCCTCCAGTGGTAATTCAGTAGTAAAATCCTTCTATTTCATTATACAACAAAGCCAGATCATCTTTTAATAAACTCTTAAAACTGCCAATCCATCAGTCTACACAGACACCTCCCCACTTACTGCTGATTTTGAAACTCAGCCAAATATTTATAATAACCTTAGCTGTCAAAGCAAACCCTCAAATATGCGAATAATAAAATCTATCTAAATTGCAAAAAGACAGCCTTTCTTTTAATTTACAACAGTTAGCCAGTCAATTAGTGCATTTTAAGAGCAGGTGGCTATTTACTTTCTCTCTAAGTGAAAGCTCCAGTAGATTTTTGGAAAAAATATTAATCTCTGTAGACATTCAAAACACTTAGGATTATGATACTAGAAGAAATATCATGATAAGTATATGACACTGCACCTCTTTATATGTTTATAATATAAAACTAGATATATATGGGAATAATAGTTTTTTAAATATCCAAGGCAAAGCCCCCTTTTATTTTAAGAGTATAAATTATTTTTGGCTTTGGTGTTAGATGATTGTGCTGCTATAATTTTGATCTGCAAAGCTTAAGATTAATAAATTTTTAAGCCTGGACTTTTATCACGTCAGGCTGACTTGGAAGTTCTCAAAAATGGTAGTTGGGACCCGTTGCTGGGAGTCCCAGCCCACATTCCCATTTCTGCATATTTTTATCATTATGGGATGTAAGTCAGGGTAGCCCTACTACATTCCCTTGACAGCTCCTTTGGAGAAGCGGGCAATCTAACATATCCTGCAATTCCATTTATGCAATCCAATCTCACCTTTTCCAAAAAGGATGCCTAAAACCTTACACTCCCAATTTAATATGTTTATAGTTTTGAATAGTTTGCACTCTGTACAAATTTTTTAGCAAATATAACTTGAAGAAATAGAATATTTCTGTCTACCTTACTGGTAGATTAGAAAAATTATAAACTGAAAGATACTTGTTTGACCGGAATTTATCTGCATTAACCAAATTCATCTGTACAATAAGGGATAACAAGGTGTAGAGCTGGATGAACACAGCAGGCCAAGCAGCATCAGAGGAGCAGGAAGGCTGATGTTTCGGGCCTAGACCCTTCTTCAGAAATGGGGGAGGGGAAGGGGGTTCTGAAATAAATAGGGAGAGAGGGGGAGGTGGATAGAAGATGGATAGAGGAGAAGATAGATGGAGAGGAGACAGACCGGTCAAAGAGGCGGGGATGGAGCCAGTAAAGGTGAGTGTAGGTGGGGAGGTAGGGAGGAGATAGGTCAAGGGGGCGGGATGAGGTTAGTAGGTAGGAGATGGGGGTGTGGCTTGAGGTGGGAGGAGGTGATAGGTGGGAGGAAGGACAGGTTAGGGAGGTGGGGACGAGCTGGGCTGGTTTTGGGATGCGGTAGGGGGAGGGGAGATCTTGAAGCTTGTGAAGTCCACATTGATACCATTGGGCTGCAGGGTTCCCAAGCGAAATATGAGCTGCTGTTCCTGCAACCTTCGTGTAGCATCGTTGTGGCACTGCAGGAGGCCCAGGATGGACACGTCTGCGGAATGGGAGGGGGAGTTGAAATGGTTCGTGACTGGGAGGTGCAGTTGTTTAGTGCGAACCGAGCGTAGGTGTTCTGCAAAGCGGTCCCCAAGCCTCCGCTTGGTTTCCCAGATGTAGATGAGGCCACAACAGGAACAGCGGATACAGTATACCACATTAGCAGATGTGAAGGTGAACATCTGCTTGATGTGGAAAGTCTTCTTGGGGCCTGGGATGGGGGTGTGGGGGGAGGTGTAGGGGCAGATGTAGCACTTCCTGCGGTTGCAGGGAAAAGTGCCGGGTGAGGTAGGTCTAGAGGGAAGTGTGGAGGGGATTGTGGACTTCACAAGCTTCAAAATCTCCCCTCCCCCTACCGCATCCCAAAACCAGCCCAGCCCGTCCCCGCCTCCCTAACCTGTCCTTCCTCCCACCTATCCCCTCCTCTCACTTCAAGCCCCACCTCCATCTTCTACCTACTAACCTCATCCCGCCCCCTTGACTTGTCTGTTCTCCCTGGATTGACCTATCTCCTCCCTACCTCCCCACCTACACTCACCTTTACTGGCTCCATCCCTGCCTCTTTAACCTGTCTGTCTCCCCTCCATCTATCTTCTCCTCTATCCATCTTCTATCCGCCTCCCCCTCTCTCCCTATTTATTTCAGAACCCCCTTCCCCTCCCCCATTTCTGAAGAAGGGTCTAGGCCCGAAACGTCAGCCTTCCTGCTCCTCTGACGCTGCTTGGCCTGCTGTGTTCATCCAGCTCTACACCTTGTTATCTCCGATTCTCCAGCATATGCAGTTCCTATTATCTCTGTACAATAAGGGGTTCGCCAATACCAATATCAATGATTAACATTGGCTTACTAAGACTGACAATCAGTTGGATGAAGAATTTCTCTCACTGTCTCAGTCATCGGTCTGTTCTGCGAGACACACATCGAGACAAACAGAGAACCATCAACGCAGTGAAAGACACTCTTTGGTCTGCCTGAAACTTGTTGATCTCCCAGGGCAAGGATTTGACCCCGACTGAGTGTTTCAGATTGGCACATTCCAAGGTCCAGGACTACGTGCTGAGGGACACACTAAAGCTTGGGGCAGCTGCCGTCTGAGGTGTTTTTGCTGAAGTTAAATAGGGGTCTCTTCAGTTATCAGACACTCCTATCACTTCAAATATATGTAAATATTCGTATTGTATGTGTAAGAGAGGTCCTTGGTTTTTTGGATAGAGTCAAAGCCCAATGTTTTGTTTATTTACTTGATATGCAACTGTACCGAGTTGAACTGCTGTTGTGACAATGTATATATACAAAGAGACTTTTTATGAATAAAGTGTATTTTTGAAATAAAAAGCAGTTACATTAAAAAAAGTCTCAGTCATGAAGGATAACAAGTTCTCTTTTCTGTTTTTAGTACAGTAAAACATTGTATGACAATTACAAAGTGGCAGTACAAAGGGCTGGTCTGGCCTCACGATGGACAAATTTTTCAAATGCAGAACCTGTCAATAGCACAAGCACCGTTCCAGGTACATCTATGCTTTTGTTTAGTTTCCAGACTTTTTTCTGATATCAGTGCATTGCTGTTGATCTCAAATGTTTGTGATATATCTCATTTTTATCCACAGAAAAAAAACCTCATTGGTCTTGTTTTCACACATAGATCATCAACTATGATATCTCTCCATCTTTTCTGTTTGGAATAGTAAGAACTTGTATTTGTATAGCACCTTATCAATATTCTCAGGGTATCCTCAAGTGTTTCAGGGCCAATATGTTTCTTTGAAGTAGAGTCACTGTAGTTAATAAGCAAAGTCAACATGGTCCCACAAATAACATGTCTGCAGTTAATGTGATTTTTTTTGGTATTGACTGAGGATGAAATGTAATAGATTCATAGATTCATGCAGTGCAGAAAAGGCCCTTTGGCCCATCAAGTCTGCACCGATATAATTACCACAAAAAGTGCGCTAATCTTAATTTCCTGCACTTGTCCCATATTCTTGAATATTATGACATTTAAAGTGGTCATCCAATTTTTTTTTAAAGATTGTAAGGTTTTCAGCCTCCACTAGCTTCCCAGGCAGTGCATTCCAGATTCCCACGACCCGCTGAGTGAAAACAATTTTTTCCCAAATCCCCTCTGAATCTCCTGCCCCTTGCCCTAAAACTATGCTCTCTTGTGATTGACCCCTCAACCAAGGGGAACAGCTGCTGTCTATTCACCCTGTCCATACCCCTTATAATCTTATACACCTCAATCATGTCTCCCCTCAGAGAAAACAATTCAAACCTATCTAGGCTCTCCTTATAGCTCAATTGTTCCATTCATAGATTTATTTTCATAGAATCCCTACAGTGTGGAAACAGGCCCTTTGGCCCAACAAGTCCACACTGACCCTCAGAGCATCCCACCCAGACCCATCTCCCAATAGCCCACCTATATCTACACATCCCTGAACACTATGGGCAATTTAACATAGCCAATCCACCTAGCATGCACATCTTTGGACTGTGAGAGGAAACCGGAATACCCGGAGGAAACCCATGCAGACTCGGGCAGAACATGCAAACTCCATACAGACAATCACCTGAGGGTGGAATCGAACCTGGGTCACTGGTGTGTGAGGCAGCATTCTGGTGAACCTCCTCTGTACCCCCTTCTAGTGCTTTCATATCCTTCCTGCAGCAAGGTGACTAGAACTGCACACAGTACTCCATTTGTGGCCTAACTAACTCTCTGTACAACTCCAACATTATCTCCTTGCTCTTATACTCAATGTCATGACTGTTGAAAGCAAGTATCCCTTATGCCTTCTTAACTGTCCTATTCACATGCTCTGCTGACTTCAGGGATCTGTGAATAATTACCCCAAGATCCCTCTGTTCCTCTGAGCCGCCCAGTGTCCTGTCATTCATTAAATACTCTCTCATTTTGTGTCTACTTCCAAAGTGCATCACCTCACAATTATCAGAATAAATACCAAGTGTCACTGGTCTGCCCATCTGACTAACCTATCTGTGTCTTCCTGTAACATACAACCATCTTCTTCACTTTTAACCACTCTACCAATCTTGGTGTTGTCTGCAAATTTGCTTAACATTCCCATTTTCATCTATACCATTTATACATATAACAAACAATAAGGGTCTCAGTACTGATCATTGTGGTACGCCACTGGACACCGGCCTCCAGTCACCTAAACAGCCGTACACCACTACCCTTTCTGTCCTATTGCTAAAGCAAGTTCTGATCCATCTCACCAAGTTTCCCTCAATTCTAAGTGCTATCACCTTTTCAATCAATCTCCCATGCGAGATCTTGTCAAAAGCTTTGCTAAATTCCATATAATCACATCAACTGAATTTCCCTGATCCACACACTTGATCATATTTTCAAAAAATTCAAACAAATTTGTCAGGCATGACCCCCCCCTCTGACAAAGCCATGTTGACTATCTCTAAATAACCTAATAATTTTTACATTCAAGGAAATAAGCAACAAGAGCTTCATCTAAAACAGCCTACAAGTGTTCCAACGTGTTAGAACATAGAACAGTACAGCACAGTACAGGCCCTTCTGCCCATGATGTTGTGCCGAACTTTTACCCTGAATCTAAGGTCTATCTAACCTCCATCCCTACCTTATACTATTATCCATATGCCTATCTAATAGCCACTTAAATGCTTCTAATGAGGCCGACTCCACTACCCTCTCCAGCAATGCATTCCATGCCCTTACCGCTCTCTGAGTAAAGAACGTACCTCTGACGTCTCCCCTATATCTACCTCCACTCACCTTAAAACTATGCCCCCTTGTAATAGCTACCTCCACCCTAGGAAAAAGTCTCTGTGTTGGCTTAGAGTAGCTAACTAAATCCTGAAGGAAGGCTTGAATCCACAATCTTTGGATACTGAAGCAAAAGTGGTACCAACAGAGCCAAATGAACATTCAACTAATGTGTCATATTGATGTTTAATGTTTGGTTCAATCATCTTTTCCTAGTAATAAGTTTCATCATTACTTTCCTTTGGATGAAAAAGTTCCAATTTACTTTTCTAATCATTTATTTTCTCATTTGTGTCCCTGATATTTGAACCATTTGCCATAGTGAGCAACTTTTATTTGAATCAATGTTGTCAATTTGTTATGTCAAGATCTGGGTAAAGGTTCCAATTCATTCCAGTCTCAGACAGGATACCATAAACTGGTATGAGGGAGGGATGAACTGGCTCCCCTTTTTTATTCGCCCACCCTTTTCGTTGTTTACAATAATACTAATTTAAAAAGGATCCCTTTCCTTGTAGATATTTTTCTCCTAGCACCAAATGAGCCAATTTAGCCATTCTTTCTATACCTGAGAAGAATTAGTAACACAACACAACACAGCACACATACTGATTAAAGATGAAGTGATTCCAAAAAGAAAAGTTATGCAGATCAGTCTCTGAATTATTCCGAGAGAGAATGGTTAACCATTGCAGCTATTGCAATATGGGTTACCGGTAATGTAGACATTGGTATTTAAACAGTTGATTTTTCAATATTCTCGGCTTTGTAAGCTGAATGAAGTTCTTTTGTTGTTAATTAGTTTACAGCACTCAGAGTGAAAAGAATCTTTAGCTGCAATACAAGGGAAACTGGGGCTAGTTCTTCAAGTGTGACCTTCATACCACACTAATGCTCAAATGCAGGCTGGTACATACAATAGTGTCAGTTCCATTAGTTTCTGCCAGTACAGCTGAAATGGGCTTCTTAATCCATTTTTCTGTATATTCCTGGAGAGTAAAACAGACACATCGGCAAGAAGTGGCTTTCTGCTGAGAGGAAGTGATATCCAGTATCCCTTGTTATCTGTCCGTATTTGAAATATTCCTGACAATTTAAATGTGTGTTTGAACAGGACTTTGCTGGACAATCACTAAATTTGAATTCGCTGTGTTTCTGTCATGGTCCTTCATTTAAAACAACACATTTTGGATTTTTTTTTAAAAATGCCTATGGACACTTTGTGGTTTTGATCTATCATCACAAACAATTCTACTTGAAAATTTTGATGAATTTTCCTCTTCAAAATGAGACAAGTAAAATTTCTTTAACGTTTACTCACATCACAAATTCCTGAAATGTGGGATTTGTTTTTCTGTAATTAGAATCAATTACACAAAATATGTGTTTTGTGCATTTATGACATTGACTGCTGGTAATGTGCAGCCAAATTTAGTGCTACAGAATAGCAATTGTTGATATGTTCTATAAGGGATTTACAGAAAGCATTTGACATCAAAGGTTATTACGCAAAGCTGAAGCACATGGTATAGGGAATTAACATACTAGCTTTCTAGAAGATTGTCTGACTATCAGCAAAAACAGTATGCATAAATGGGGTTTTTTTCTGATTAGTAGGATGTGGTGAGTGGGTTCTGTACGGCTCTGTGTTGAGGTACCAACATTTTATAGTTTATGTCAATGACTTAGTTGAGGCATGGGAACTAAATTTGCCGTTGACCCAGAGACAGGTAGGAAAATATGCTGTCAAGAGAATGTAAGGAGGTTGTAGACTGATATAAGTGAGTGAGCAAAAATCTGGCAACTGGAATATAATGTGGGAAATGTGATGTTGGTCATTTTGGCAGGAAGTATAAAGAAGGGAAGTATTACCTGAACAGAGACCAATTGCAGAACTCTGAGGTGCAGAGACATGTATTTGTTCTACTGCAAGCAAGTAATTAAGGTGGCTAATGGAATACCATTGTATTTTGAGAAAGGAATTGAATACTATCCTTCAGCTATAGAGGGCATTGGTAAGATCACATCTCCAATTCTGTGTACAGTTTTGGTTTCCTTATTTTAAAAAGATGTAAATGTGTTGGAGAGAGTTCAAAGGGGTTATTTGATACCTTAACTGAGCAGGTTGTCTTATGAGAAAAGATTAGATAAAATTGGCTTGTTCCCACTGGAGTTTAGAAGACTGGGGGGTGACTTGATTGAAGGATGTACGATTCTGAATGGTTTCAACTAGGTGGATTTGGAAAGGATATTTCCTCTCCAGAACACAAACAGATCAGCCATGATCTTATTGAATGACGGAGCAGACTCAAAGGCTCAATGGCCTATTTCTGCTCCTAATTTGTATGTTTCTATGCTCATAAAACACAAGTACATAAATCTAGAACTTGCTGCATGCTCAGAGTATGAAAATCCAAATTGTCTTATCTGCTAACACGAAAAGTCAGAGCTTATGTACTGATGTGTCAATGTTTGTAAACACATATTGTGGTATGCATAAGTCTGATACTTTGTCATATAACAATGTAAACTGATGTGTGGATTGTCATTATTATAATTTTACAGCCAATGATTTGTAAATTAAAAACTGATTATCATCAAAAATCGTTAATTAAGGCATTTTTTTCCAAATGGCACCATCAAATATATTTGATTTGAGGAGTTTCCTGCTGCCTCATTTTATATCTCAGCCAGTTGAAGGTACAGTGACTAGATGTTACCATAATCACGTTGGTCATTAAAGATGATCTGGACAGAATGAAAACTGGTAGATTAGCCTTGCTATAAATTCTGCTTTTCAGTAAAATTAATGCGAGAGAAACACAGAAAGGTGTTATCTTCCTTTGGATTTTATCCCTCTCTGGCCCTTTCCTCAACTTCACCATGTCAAACATTTCTTCAGTCCCAGCTAATAGGGACAGCAGGTTGCTAGACTTGCATCCTCTCAGTTTTTAACCTCATTCTGAAACTGAAATAAATAAGATATATTGTCCTTTAATTTCAGTGTGTTTTTATAAAAAATATACGTTTTTCACTTATTTAAGGTGTACTTCTTAATTGCACCAAATAAATCTTCCTTGTTTAATATTGTTCTGCCTGAGTAGAATTATTAACTTTTTTCTCTGTTTTGTCATTAAGCTACTCCTCAACCAAATGGACATCCAGGCCAACCCCAGAAAGCATTGAACCCAGTCAGTCCAGCATTTCCTGAATCCTGGAAGAGTGCACAGGTAAGCAAAGTGAAAGCTGAAGTAATTTGGGGGATTTATTTCTGTGAAATCTTTAGCAACTAGTAAATGCATGAATTTTCCCCAAATGTTTGACTGTCGTGTCTTGTGTATGTGTTTAGCTGGCTGGATCAGCTACAATGGGATACAATATAAAAGATTTCTCAGAAGCTAACTTTACTCCTTACTACTTTATGTTTGTTGCATCCCATAAATGGGATGAGCACATGGAGCTTTCAATAAACCTTGCTCACTGCAACAGCCACTACACAACGTACGAACAGGTATTCTTCACCTGGTTGCTGCCGATAATACCAGCAAATTGCTCGTTGCACTAATATATGTACTTAATCTTGCGTAATTGCTTTAGTGGAAAGCACAAACTGAAACCAATTACATCACCAAGTTGTATCATTTTCCACTTAAAACATAACATTTTACGTACATAATGAGCCTGAAATTTGAATGCACCTTCTGAGTTTGTCCATATGACACGGGTAAGTTGTGTAAGGTTCTACTTGGACAACATAGTCAATCTCTTGGTAGGCCCAGGCATAAAATAATATGGGGAGGCAATGGCCTAGTGGTATTGTCACCAGATTGTTGACCCAGGTAAAGTTCTGGAAGCCTGGTTCAAATCCCACCACAGCAGATGCTGGAATTTGAATTCAATAAATACATGGAATTAAGAGTCTAATGATAACCATGAATTCATTGTTGAATTAAAAACCCATCTGGTTCACTAATAGAAGGACCTTACATGGTCTAGCCTACATGTGATGCCAGACCCACCAGCAATGTGGTTGACTCTCAACTGTCCTCTGGGCAATTAGGGGTGGGCAAAAAATGCTGGACTAGCCAATGATGCCCTCATCCTGTGAATGAAGATGCATAAATGAAGCATAAGTTTCTCCAAAATAGTGCTTTTATAAAAATTATTTCCTCCACTGAATTTCATTAATTTCCAATGAGGCTTTGCCCACAGTATGGACCTCAGCTGCATTAATAATACACTTCAGGAGCTGGGACCTGGTCTATTCAAGGAAATTTCTTAAACAGATTATCATTTGCGAATGTTGTTCCAAATATTAGCTGGTTACATGAAAAAGACTGCCATTTAGATTATTTTTTCCCTTCATTAAACTTGTTTTTTTGGTTAAACCCAAATTGAGCCAAATGAACTGTAGACGTGATAAGGAAGTTTCTCGAGGTGAGTGTTTTCAAAGCACTGCATGTTTAGGATGGACGTGAATTCATGTCACTTCAATATAACCCACAGCAACAGAATTTTCTGCAAGTAATTCCAGACAAAAATCGATATTATGCCTCCATTTCATAGTACATGTGATCACGCAGTTGTATAAAAGCAAAGTAGTGTGGATGCTGGCGATCTGATACAAAAACAGAAAATTCTGGAGAAACTCAGCTGGTCTGGCAGCATTTGTGGAGAGAGAAACAGGGTTAACTTCTTGAGACCATTAATTCAAAATAGAATCCAAAGAAAATTCACATTAGACTCAAAACATTAACTCTGTTTCTCTCTCCACAGATGCTGCTAGAGTTGCTGAGTTCTCCAGCGTTTTCTGTTTTTATTTATAATCACACAGTTAGTTAATTTGGTGTAGCGTGATAAGGAGACAAAGTTGGGCGTGCAAACAGCTCTTAGAATCCCAGAATAATGTGGCACATGGACGGAGGACACTCAGCTCATCACGCCAATGGTGGCCTCTTTGAAAGAACTATCCAATTAATTCCATCGCCCAGTTCTTTCCCTATAGTCTTGCATTATTTCTTTTTCAAGTGTATATCCAATTGCTTTTTGAATTAATGAATATGCTTCCAGGTGATCCATTCCAGATCAAAATATCTCTGTACAAATAATCTCTTCTCAGCTCCCTCTGGTATTTCTGTTAATGATTGAAATCTGTGAACTCCAGTTACTGACCAACTTTTAAAATATTTGTTCAGAGGACATTAATGTGCAACATGGTATACTAGCCCATAAAATCTCCTTATCTATTTTCTCAAAATGTTTCATGATTTTGAACAGCACTCCGAAACTTCCTTTGACCTTCTCTGTGTCGTGAAGAAACTTCCCCATGTCCATATTTCTCCAGTCTTTCCACTGACCAAAGCCCCTCATCCCTAGTATCCCTAGAATCATTGTAGTAAACCTTTTCTCACCAAGACCAAGACACTTTTCTTACAGTGTGGTACCCAGAATTGGATGCAATACTTTAGATAAGGTCTTATCGGTAAAATCGGAAACTAAAAGATTTTCTTTTTGCTTTTGCACTTGTAGCCTCTATTTGTTAAGAGAAGTACCTCATTCTTTTTGTAACAGCTTTATACATTTGTCTGCCACTTGCAATGTACGATGCCATCAGATGTGAGCCAGCACCCTTTTTAAGATGCTATAATTTCCACATTAAATCAGTTTACAAACCTGGTCTTAAGATGCACTGCACTGATTAAGATACTAGTCTGATGAAACCAGCAAAATCTGAGCAGTAACTGGACCATTAACCAACAAAAACAAGGGAGATTCAGTGTTTGCTACATGAGTATTCTTTTTTTAATGTCTGACCCACATATTAATGTTTATTTTTAAAATCAAAGGAGAAGACGACTTATAATATTGATATCAACCTGCCACCGCCACCTCCTCAACTTGGATATCAGGAGTCCTCGCAGGCTGAAGAAGAGGAGCTACCACCTCCCCCTCCATCCTTTGAACCTCCCCCTCCACTTTTTCAGCCTCCTCAAGAGCCAGCCATACGAAAGCCAGGTCCTCCTGCAGTACCTACCCGTCACTTCCCTTCTACTACATCTGCAGTACCGCCTCCTACTGCAATCAAACGGAAAAATTCAGGTGCAAATAACCAACTAAAGTCAAATGCACACATTGCAGAGTTACCTCCTCCTCCTCCAGATCCAGAGAACTTTCCAGAACCACCACCTGATTTCCTGCCGCCTCCTCCTCCATGTTTCAACAACAATTCTGGAGGACCACCACCGCCACCTCCTCCTCCACCTCTTGCTTCTAATCCAACTATTAATGCTGTGAAAAAGCCAGAAGTGCCAAAGAGGAGTGAGAATCCAACAATGACCTCCAGCAACAGACCTGGAGGAGGTGTTTCCTCAGACAAGCCAGACCTTATGTCAGATCTCATGAAGGCTCTACAGAAGAAAAGAGCTGCAATAAATGAATAAGCACAGGCAATTTAGTCAAAGATTTGTGTCCATAGGTACTTTACAGTTTATGTGACACTAAACCATTTATCAAAACAGCTCAAATAGACTCATACTGGCAAGTAGCCTGATCTGCACCAGTAAAGAAGCAGCATTTGAACACAGTTGTTCAGGCACCTACAGCTTTGGAAACAAGCAATGTATTAAAAGTGTTGCATTATCAAAGAAAATATCTATGTTTATACAGCCAACATGTTAATTTTCCATAACTGTACATATTCAATGTTTGTTATTGTTTTACAAGTGTGTTGATGTTATTTGACAGTGAATTTCACTTTCTTCTAATAGCTAATGTGATGTGGCATTAATCTAGAGAGACCAGAAAATCTGTACTGTTTTACATGAATTTGGGTAGATCAATGTCAAAGCTACTCTGTATGATCTCCATATTAGAGGGAAATGAAACATTAAAAGCTTCTACTTCTGGTTGCCTTCTCACTGTAAAATAAGTATGTGTAGAGATACCTAAAAATAAAGTATCAATCTGACAAAGCTTGCATGCCAAACTGCAGAAAGAGCGATTGATATGTAGAGCTAAGCAATTCAACAACCATCAGATCAGATCTAAGCTTTACAGACCACCACAGCCAGTGATGAACGGTGGTGGACAATTAAACAATTAACAGAAGGGGGAGGCTCCAGAAATAGTCGCAAAGGTGAGGGAGTTGAGCACATCAGTGTTACAGATAATGCTGAAACACTCACAATAATCTTCAGCCAGAAGTGCTGAGTGGATGATCCATCTCAGCCTCTTCCAAAGGTCTCCATAAATGATGCCCAGGTCACATGATGAATAAGAAGAAAATGCAGAATTATAATTCCTCTACAATGCCCCATGTGGTTAAACAGCTCATGCCTCATCTAGACTCACACAAAGAATGACTATTCAGGCTAATTATCAAAAGGGTTTCTTGCATGTTTGGTACTATCCTCTTTTTTATGTTCAGTTTAGTTGAAAAAATTGAATAACTTAATTAAAACTACCACAAAACATTAATTTAGAACTGTCCAGTTTCCATTCCTTTATGGTGAACACAGTCAATTGAAAATAAGGCTGAGGTTATAAAAACAAATAAAGGAGCTGCAGCAAGAGAGATGTCAATTTACTGTCAATTGAAGTTTGGTTCATTTATTAATGATAGTAAACACTCAGCTCATTAGATCAAGTCTTCACCGTTTCACTATTGAACCACTCATTATTGTGAAGGTAAAGTCACCATAGTCCCACCGAACCATAGGGCTGCTTGCTCATTAGAGAGAGATGACTGGTGGTGATTTAACCTGAGGGTCATCACGCTGCAAGCAAGGGGAGAAGCTGAGAAGGAACATCCTTCCTGGTAGACTCATCTGGTGCAGGAAGTGAACCCATGCTATCGATGTTATGCTGCAATGCAAACCAATCACCTAAGCTAACCAACCCCCTTTCATTATTGTAGTTCAATACTGTAAGTCAAAGTTGAATTGGAAACAATCCAGGAAAAGGCTATTCAGCCCACCATGTTTGCACTAGCCCTATAAGTGAGCAATTCACTTAGAGCCAGTGCCTACTTTCTTCCCATAACCTTATACATTTTAGCTTGTAGATAACAATTCAATTCTCTTCTGAATGCTGCAATTGAACCCACTTTATTCACAATCTCAGTCAATGCATTCCAAATCTTAATAATTAACTACATGCAAAGTTTGTTCTCATATTGGCATTGCTACCTCTGCTAATTATATTTAAACTGTCTATTTGGGTGTTGATCTTTCCAATAATGGCAGCAGTGTAACCAATTCTTCCATATGCATTGAAGTCAATGGACAATGTACAACAGCTACCTCAAATTACTGAAGAAATATTATCACTGATACCTATTCAAAGTCCTGCAAGTTCAATGGCAGACACAATGTGTTCTCATCTCAGGCCAACATCCCCAGCATTGGTTCAGAGATAGTAGGAACTGCCGGTGCTGGAGAATCTGAGATAACAAGGTGTAGAGCTGGATGAACACAGCAGGCCCAGCAGCATCAGAGGAGCAGGAAAGCTGACATTTCGGGTCTGGAACCTTCTTCAGAAATGGGGGAGGGGAAGGGGATTCTGAAATAAATAGAGAGAGAGGGGGAGGCAGATGGAAGATGGATAAAGGAGCAGATAGGTGGAGAGGAGATGGACAGGTCAAAGAGGCAGGGACGGTGCCAGTAAAGGTGAGTGTAGGTGGGGAGTTAGGGTGGGGGTTGGTCAGTCCAGGGAAGACGGACAGGTCAAGGAGGCAGGGATGAGGCTCGTAGGTGGGAGGTAGGGGTGGGGGTTGAGGTGGGAGGAGGGGATAGGTGGGAGAAAGGACGGACATATTAGGGAGGCAGGGATGAGCTGGGCTGGTTTTGGGATGCAATCGGGGGAGGGGAGATTTTGAAGCTTGTGAAGTCCACATTGATACCATTGGGTTGCAGGGTTCCCAAGCGAAATATGAGGTGCTACTCCTGCAACCTTCGGGTGGCATCATTGTGGCACTGCAGGAGGCCCAGGATGGACATGTCGTCCAAGGAGTGGGAGGGGGAGTTGAAATCGTTCGCGGCTGGGAGGTGCAGCCGTTTGTCACGAACCCAGCATAGGTGTTCCACAAAGCAGTCTCCAAGCTTCCGCTTGGTTTCCCCAATGTAGAGGAGGCCACAACAGGAACAGCAGATACAGTATACCACATTAGCAGATGTGCAGGTGAACATCTGTTTGATGTGGAAGGTTTTCTTGGGGCCTGGGATGGGGGTGAGGGGTGAGGTGTAGGGGCAGGTGTAGCACTTCCTGCGGTTGCAGGGAAAAGTGCCAGGGGTGGTGGGGCTGGTGGGGACTGTGGAGCGGACGAGGGAGTCATGGACAGAGTGGTCCCTCCGGAAGGCAGTTAAGGGTGGGGAGGGAAAAATGTCTTTGGTGGTGGGGTCAGATTGCAGATGGCAGAAGTGCTGGAGGATGATGCGTTGGATCCGTAGGTTGGTGGGGTGGTACGTGAGGACGAGGGGGATTCTGTTTTGGTTGCTATTGCGGAGACGTGGTGTGAGAGATGAGATGCAGGAAATGCGAGAGACGTGGTCGAGGGCGTTTTCGACCACTGTGGAGTGGAAGTTGCGGTCCTTGAAAAACGAGGAAAAATGAGGTCCAGACCCAAAATGTCAGCTTTCCTGCTCCTCTGATGCTGCTTGGCCTGCTGTGTTCATCCAGCTCTGCACCTTGTTATCCCCAGCATTGGTACTTGTTATGTCAATCAGCTGCATTGTGTGGGCCACGTTTTCTATATGCCTGACACAAGACTTCCAAAACAAGCTCACTACTCCAAGCTTCATCACAGCAAGAGATTACTGGAAGGGCAGAGGAAATTTTTAAGGATGTGTTCAAAGCCACCCTGCAAAAATATAGCTCCATCGATTCTTGGGAATCCTCACCCTCACTGGAAAACAAGGCCTTCCATTCCCAGAGTCATCAATAAAGTTAAAGATTTTATAAAATTATGCAAAATTTCTGCAATTTACCTGTCTTTCTAGACTCAAGTTAACAGAAAGCAAAGACCAAGTTTCTGTTCTTCACAAGAATTACAACTTATTACAAATAAAATGACTAGCTACAGGTAAACAACAACAAACTATTGATGTATTTCTCTACCAGTTAAAATAGTGAACCCACCCCCACCCTGATAAAACTTCCTCTACACACACGTGCAGACATACACAAAAGAAAATTGATAGTATTGGTGTAAGGAAAACTGGGAAGATAGATCAAAGGTCTTTGTCCACAGCGTCAGAAATCACACAACACCAGGTTATAGTCCAACAGGTTTATTTGAAAACACAAGCTTTTAGAGCCTCAGTCCTTCTTCGGGTGTTAGTGAGAGAGAGATTGTACCTCTACGCTAACACCTGAAGAAGGACTGAGGCTCTGAAAGCTTGTGCTTTCAAATAAACCTGTTGGACTATAACTTGGTGTCGTGTGATTTCTGAGCTTGTCCACCCCAGTCCAACACCAGCACTTCCATATCATCTGTCCACAGTGTTTACGGAGATGATTCGTCTGACTTGGCAGGATTTGCTGCTCCTTGATCTCCTTCTTCAGGCACTTTCAATTGTATTGCAGGAGGCACAGAGTGACTGGTGCACAGCTTATAAAATCTCTGACTTATTGGTTAAAAGGTTACAGGAACCAGTAAGGGAAAATAAAATGGCTTTCTTCAGGCTTTAAGTGATTTTTTTTTCTGCAGAGATAGGAATAGCATTTCTCTTTCAGGAGATTTGAAGGCTTTTGGGTTATCTCGTTCACGCTCCCAAGTTATTCAATCACATAGTTGTTGACAAAGGCCATCGACAACTGGTAACTAATCCACAGTTTAATCAGCTACTTGTTGCCAGCCAAATCTTATTTTGTACACATTCAGTAGTAATGTGTGGGTGTCTCATGTGGACAGCATCGTACAGGGTTCTGATGTTCATAAGCCAGGAATCCTAGGAGGCATGGTGGTTCGGTGGCTACCCCTGCTACCTCACAGTACAACGGACCTGGGTTTGATTCCACCCTCAGGCAGCTGTCAGTGTGAAGTTTGCACATTCTCCTTGTGTCTGCATGAGTTTCCTCCAGGTGCTACAGTTTCCTCCCACAGTCCAAAGATGTGCAGGTTAGGTGGATTGGCCATGGGAAATGCAGGGTTACGGGGATAGGTGTGTTTGGATGGGATACTCTTCAGAATGTCGGTGTGGACTTGACCTGCTTCTGTACTGTAGGGATTCTATGATTCCTGCAAACACTCACTGTCTAACCTCAAACATCAAGGAACTTTTAAGTGGCAGGGGAATGTGCATGAATTAAAATCTCTGATTTACAAACTAAACATAGCATCTAGGCTTACAGAAAAATTGTTTTTGAAGAGTTCAGTAGAGTTCCAGTATCCATTCTTTGCTCACACATGGGAACAAGAAGCATTAAGTAGAGAATGGTGCACAACTTGGTGGAACACAGCAGTTCAGCTGTGGCACGGGAACCAGATTCTACTGAGCTGCCCGTAGGTCCTGATCTCCACAGCCACCTCATTCCAGGATACCTTCGTCAATGGACATTTCTGGCTTTTCCTGTGAGCTGTATTGGTGTCTTCAATGGTTAACAGCTCTCTGAATCTTTATCTCTGAATCTTTATATGTCTTTTATGTATCCTACCTAAATTAGAACAAAGAACAAAGAAAATTACAGCACAGGAACAGGCCCATTGGCCCTCCAAGCCTGCACCAAGATGCTGCCCATCACAACTAAAACCCCCTATCCTTCCAGGGACCATATCCCTCTATTCCCATCCTATTCATGTATTTGTCAAGACGCCCTTTAAAAGTCACTATAGTATCTGCCTCCACTACCTCCCCCGGCAGCGAGTTCCAGGCACCCACCACCCTCTGTGTAAACCCATGGCCCCTGGTAACTGACTCTTCCATCCTCGGAAAAAGCTTCTAGTTGTCCAGTCTGTCCATGCCCTTCATAATCTTATAGACCTCTATCAGGTGGCCCCTCAACCTCAGTTGTTCCAGTCAGAACATCCTAAGCTTCTCCAACTTCTCCTCATAGCTAATGCCCTCCATACCAGGCAACATCCTGGTAAATCTGTTCTGTACCCTCTCCAAAGCCACCACATCCTTCTGGTAGTGTGGCGACCAGAATTGAACATAATATTCCAAATGCAACCTGAGGTTCTATAAAGCTGCAATATTACCTGTCAATTTTTAATCTCAGTGCCCCCGCCTATGAAGGCATGCATGCCATATGCCTTGTTGACTACCTTTTCCACCTGCATTGCCACATTCAGTGACCTGTGTACCTGTGCACCCAGATCCCTCTGCCTATCAGTACTCTTAAGGGTTCTGCCATTTATTGTATATTTTCCATCTGGATTAGACCTTCCAAAATGCACTACCTCACATTTTTCCAGATTAAATCCATCTGCCATTTCTCTGCCCAAGTAACTAACCAATCTATATCCTGCTGTATCCTTTGACG